CATGTGCCCAGAAGTGGAATTGCTGAATAATATGGTAATTTAAAAATTTTTGAGGAACCATGGTCCTGTTTGCCATAGTAGCTGCACCATTACATTACCATTAACAATGCATCAGGATTCCAGTTTCTCTACATCCTCATCCACACTTTTTAATTTGTTTTGTTTTTAATATTAGCCATCCTAATGGGCATGAGGTGATACCTCACTATAATTTTGGTTTCCATTTCTCTAATTATTAGTGATATTGAGCATCTTTTCACATGCTTGTTGGTCAATTTCTTAATGTCTTTGAAGAAATGTCTATTCGAGTTCTTTACCCATTTTTTAATCAAGTTATTTGCTGTTGTTGAGTTGTAGGAGTTCTTATATATTCTATATATTAACCCTTTATCAGATAGATGAATTGTAAACATTTTCTCTCATTCCATGGATTGCCTTTTCACTTTATGTCCTTTGATGCACAGAAGTTTTAAATTTTGATGAAATCCAATTTATTTATTTTACTTTTGTTGTTTGTGTTTTTGGTGTCATATCTAAGAAGCCACTGTCTAATTCAAGATCACAGGGATTCACACTTATGTTTTCTTCTGAGTTTTATAGTTTTAGCTCTTATATTTAGGTCTTTAATCCATTTTGAGTTAATTTTCATGTATGATATAAGATAAGTGTCCAACATCATTCTTTTGCATGTGACTATTCTGGTACCATTTGGTGAAAAGACTGTCCTTTCCCCATTACATAGTTTAGCTCCTTGTTGAAAATCACTGGACCATATATGCAATGGTTTATTTCCCAGCTCTCTTCTATTCCATTGGCCTGTATGTCTGTCTTTACGTCAGTACCATACTGTTTTAAGTAAGTTTTGAAATCAGGAAGTGTTAGACCTCTAACTTTGTTTTAAGATTGTTTCATTTTGACAGCTTTAATCTTTAATACTTTAAAAATTATAAATTTAAAAGTTTTGATATTTCAAAACCTAAGAAATAACAAATACAATTTTTTTATATCCTAATACTAAGACTCAAATTTTAAAAACTTTTGACAATGTCAAATAATAAATCTGACTTTGATTCATCTAATTCCATTATTTTAGCTACATCAAAGAAAGAGAAACCACTTTCTTATTTATCTGTGGTCTAAAAAGCAAAGTAGTCATAATTCAAGCAGAAGGAAATCTAAAAGCTCATCTCTCATTTCACATGGAATACAACTACAGAATAATCTGAACTATATTTTAAAATGCTTACAGAAAACAAAATTCCGTAACCTTAACATGACAGTATCTAAAATTTTTTCTTTGTTCTTATCTTTAGAGAGTAAAGCCACTAGACCATAGTGTATTAAACTAAATGCAATTTTAAACATATCTTGCTTTTTCTCCCCTCCATACCTTTATACATACTGCTGCATCTTCATGAACACCTTTCTGCAACATGCCTTCCCTTCCTATTCTTCACTGGCCTGGAGTTGAAGGGTTCTCAACCAGAGGCAATTCCACTTGTTGGGGAATGTTTTAAAAGGCATGGAGACTCTTTCCTTTTATTTTTATTTCTTTTGTTATTATAACAACTTGGGGGTATTACTGGCATTAAGAATTCTGAAAGCCAAGCAAACTGTTTGGAATGTAAGATTACCTTGCTCAAAATATTAATAGCACCCCTGCTGAGAAACACTGGCACCTAGCCAACTCCTGCAAATTCCTCAGGGATCAGCCTGGGTATCACTTCCTTTGGGAATTCTACTCTGATTCATATAATTTGACTTAGGTACTCCTTTTATTTGCTCCTGTAAAGGAGTATGCTAGTGCTATCCCTCTCTTTACACTTATTACCACGTAAAGTAATTAACGGTTTGTCTGGCATGGCCACTAGAAAGAAATTATAATTTTCCTGTAATATAAAAGTGGCAAAATCCTAAATGCTTAATTAAGTATACTTACCAGAATGAGCAACCCCACATGCTTTTTTGACAGGGTCTGCAAAAACTATAGGTATACAATCAGCCCCAAGAGCCGCTATTGTGACTCCTCTCTGATTTGTGGTGATTCCATCATACGATTCAGGCTCCTTTCTTCCCATAATCCAGACATCACTGGCATGATCAGTCTAATACCAAAGACCAAAGATGTGCAATAAAAATGTTTTGACAATAGGATTTCTCATACCATAAGCTTTTCCAAAAGTACTCATATCCTACAAATTATATAACCAGTTTAAGATTATTAACATTCATTGTGAATATATCATTTCTATGTACAGTAAAATTCCAAACTTATTTAACTTTATTTGAATATTTTATTCAAAGGAAACAGACTTTAACATTTAAAAATTCAATATAGTCGATCACGAACATCTCCCACTAAACACAGTTGTCTACTTGCAATGCTTTCCACAATAAAAAAGGGCAGTCATATTATATTCTTAGAATTAACTGTACTTTTAGATGTGAGGATGCTCAGGTGAAACATAAATGTCATAGACTTGATCTTTAGGCTACAGTGTATAGGTCTAAGTTAAACAGCCACAAGCACTATTCTTAAATTTTAGATAAAATAGCAGATGTAGAAATTTGCTTGACTAAAGCTCATATAGTCATTTGCAGAGTCAAGAATGTACTTTAGATCTTCTAAAATAAAATTTTACCTTTATTCGGTAAAATTTCTCCACATTAAATCCTGCAGCATTCCCCAACCTACGCAGATTTTCTTGAACAACAACCTTGGGATCTCTCCGTTTGGAACTACAGAAGAGATTGAATGAGCTAAGAGTTGGTATGTAAGATATTCCACCTGTTCTTGTAGTAAATCCATGTATGAAAACATCTGTTGAGGACAAGTAGTGATTAAAAACATGCTATGCAAAGTACTATAAAGCATTATGAACTCAGTTCTCAGGAAGACTTCCCCTGATCACCTCAAGCTGCAATTTGTCTTTCTAGCTTCTAACTTCTACAGCACCGTGTACCTCCATGTGTTCTTTTATAGACTGCTTTGGGTTTTCTTTACCTTCTCTTTGGAATTATTGTTATACTTGATAGCACGCAGCTCGCAGTAAATATCATTCAACCAAGAAGTAAGATTGTTTTACATTTCACTCTTCTGTATAGATGCCAATGAATTAATGTTTTGAGAATTTCTAAACAGGAGATGCTTAGGACATAAATTCCATTTTAGGAAGGCTGTGTGGTTGTCTTAAGGCTGAATTTGCATTACGCAAATTTATTTAGGGTGGCTCTGAAAGGACTATCCCTTGTTATGCTTTGACACCCCTAACAGGACAAGGCCATCCATTACGCTCCCATGTTGCAACTGATGCTAATGAGCACATAAACCCATAAGTCACAAAAGAAGGAAAAAAGGAAGTACACACCCTCTAAAGAAAGACAGGTTTTTTATGCATACAGTGACAACAACATGGGGTTTAATATACCTGAGATTGAAGGAGATGTGATAATAGTTAATTCTCCTTTCAGTGCTGGCAGGTTTTTCAAGTATGTTTCTATTTCATTTTGAATTGCTTCCAGTTCTTGAGCTGTAATTGTGTTTCCTTCAGTGGACTGTTTCCAAAGTCCTCCCCTCAAAGTCACCTGCAAATCTTCAAACTCAAAATTGTAAACATCAGTGAAAAGTTGATCAATAAAAGCCCTCATTAATGTCTTCCTGTGCTTGGGTACAATGACCTTAATGCTACTCAGATTTTTTTCATCAATTTTCTGTTTAATTGTATATAATGAGGCAGCCATGCTGGGATTGCTAACAGTCTCAAATTCTCTCAGGAGAGTTGATAATCTATTGCTCGTTTCTAACTCACAGTTATTATGTTCATCATCCCTTTCCCAGCTGATGTTACTGCAACACATTATGCAAAGGAACTTGGCCTTGGTAGCACAGTAGTATCGAACAGCATACAATGTCTTCAGTAATGACTGATGACTGTTTTTCAGAGAGTTCAATTTCAAACCGAAGAGATCAACCAACACTGCTTCTGCCATCCTTCAATACTTCTACAAAGTTCTTTAAAGACTGTTGCGCCCTCCACAAAAATCCCCTGTAAGAAAAATTAGCACAGGAATGTAAAATTACATCAGAAATTTTGTGACTGAATTAAAAAAAAAGTTGCATTGACATAAAAATGTAACCAAAATAGATCTAGACCGCCCCCAGAAAAGGTTGTACACTATTTGTAAGGCGAGAACCATGACGATGACTGCCAAGCCATCTCTTAATTCGTTTTTTTAAAAAGTGTTTGTACATATTTCCAGCAGAACAACAGTTTCTCTGTTCCTGTGTTTTTCATACAGCAAATTTAAAGTAGGAAGGTACTTCTTAATCAAATTCCTGTTTTTTGACTACAGGGTATTCTGTGACATACCCAGGACTGGCATGGTAGGTCACACCCCCTCATATGAAACAGGGGGGCTTTAAATTCACTACATTAAACGGAGCTCCACCTAAAATCGCGTTTTTAAGAAAATAAAAGCTGAGATGGCCGACAACATTTCCCTCCGGGATTTATACAGTATCTCAGGTTATGGCAATCACCACACTAGCGACTTGGGTCAGACCCGCATCCCCAGCACTCCGCCGCCCACTGCGCCCCGCGCCCCGCGCAGATTCTCACCTCCAGCCCCGCCTCCCACGCCGGCCGGCCGGGTTCTCCTCAGTGACCGCCTTCGGGGGCCCTTGTGCCCGGGCGGTTTTCTCCTGCCACCTCCCCTAACTTCCACTCCCCACCTGCCTACCGAGGGTGCTCAAGCTCTCCTCGCTGTTCCGAAAACCATTCGAGAGGCGAGGCGGGTGAGCCCGAGCCACCCGGAAGCGGCGAGCGACGCCCCCGCGCCTCCCCGCGGGTCCCCGCCTCCAGGCCGGAGGACTGCAGGGAGGCAGGAGCGAGTGCGCCGAGGGTTCGGCGGCGGGGCGGGCGTCGGCGGGCGCGTGGAATCCGGGGGGCGCGAGGCCGCCGCCCGCCGCCACCTCAGCAGTTCCGGGTCAGCGCGGCCCGCCGAGCCCGCGCTCAGCGGCCCCGCCGGGGAAGAACGCGAACCAGAGCCGCCGAAGGCCCTGTGGCCGGAGCCAGGAGGGTCAGCGAGCGGGAAGCCGGGCGGCGGGCAGGGGGGGCGGGGGCGGGCCCGTCTGCGAGCGGAAGCCTTTCCTCAGGTGCGCCCTTCCCGTCGCTGGACGGCGCGCTCACCCAGCGGTGCGGTCGGGGCGCAGAGCGCGGGCCCGGGAACCCCACTCCGTTAGCACCTGGTCGGTGTTCCCAGCCAAGGTTCAAGTAATACCCCTCCTTCGGGGTGGGGGGTTGTTTGTTTGTTTGTTTGTTTGTTTGTTGTTACCGTTTCTTCCCAGAAGCGAGCTGGGTGAACCCTCCGTAGCCTATTTGCTACTCCTGCCTTACCTGCTGACTGGACCTGCCCTCCTCACAGTTCCCTAACATATTAACACACAAGATGTCCTATATATGCCTTTTAAAAAAAACAAGTACCATTAGCACACAGTCAGAAAGCACTAGCCCTTAGAATTGTGGTAAAGGTGCAAATTGGCATCTTTTATTTACCTTCAAAGAACATAACTATTTAAAATATTGAACAGCTACTATAGGGAAGGCAAATACTATTATAGTAAAGGAAAAGCATAACCAACCTTCGAAGAGTAGGAGAAAGGGTGTCTTCTGTGGAACTGGTTATGATGGAAGGAAAGGTCCCTTTTATATTTATTGTTGCTTATTTGATAGGTGCTGAAGAACCTTCACCTGAAAAAAGAATCTAGGCTATATGAGTTTAGAAGAGCGCTTGGGGCTGAGCAAGTGCTTCTATTCTATTTGACTGGATAATTGCATCACCAACCTGGAATAGGAACCTGCGCTTCAGTATGCCGTGCAGTTGTTCTTGTCAAAATCTGTATTCTCATTTTTGCTTGACATTTAAAAGCCTTCAGTGGTAGAAGGTGCACCTGATCAGAAGGAGTAACAAAGTCGGTTTAAAATGTTTATCCCTGTTTTTATAGACAATGGTGGGAATTCATTTTCTTTCATGCACCAGTAGTGGCCGTAAAAAATTTAAAAAGAAATATTTCAAAATAGGAAAGTTGTCAGGGAAGAGAGAGTTTGTATTTACACACTATTTCCTTTCTCCATCTGGTCTTAGATTATTTAGCCTCATTTCCTAATACTGTTACCTCTTTCCCATTCCAGTGGTTCTCAATCCTGGCTGCATATCAGAACTACAACTTAAAATAAATCCAGGGACCCTACTCCAGATACACATTTGAAATCAGAACCTCTGGGAGTCAAGTCTGGGCATGTTTTACTGTGTTGTTATGTCTTGTTTTGGACTCTACAGATGATTCAGATGCAAGATCAGGTTTGGAAAAACACCTGCCCTGTTCCCAAGCCACTCAAACTAAAGGCTGTTCCTTGGATGGGCCACATGATTTTATCCTTTACACATGCTATTCCTCCTACTTAGAATACTATTTTCTTTATATGCTTAATTTAACTGCTACTTATTCAAGGTCTTTCAAAATCAAACATAACCTTCCTTGAATCTTCATCCCCTCACCAAGCAGAATTAATCGCTTCTTTTTAGCACTTTGTTCATATAAAATAAGTTCTCTTATGGATGCAGTCCGGACCCATAGTTTAGCAATAAATTGAAAATGTTGATTAAACTGAATTTGTACATTTTATAAGGATGAGCTTGATAGTATGTAAATTATATCTAAATCTATTTTTTAAAAAGTCAGTTAAACCAGAGAGTCATGAAAAAGTATAACATAAATACCCTAAGTATTTTGTTTTAACCTAAAGCAAGTATATGCTCATTTGCCTATCTGTTGAGAAAGTCCAAGGCCTTTTCTTTGCATATAGTCTGCTAATTATAGAGCTCTGCATTGTGTCTCCTGCATAAACAACGTCTCTAAACTATCAGCTAAGATTTCCTAAGATTGCATTCCTATAAGAGGAAAAGAACTTAAAGGCCCTCATGAAGCTATTTGAGTGCACATTTCTTCTTTATAACATTTTGTAGTTATCTCACACATATAAACAACTCACTTTTATTGGGTCTTTCCAAAATATTAAACATAAATGATAAAGAAATGAGAAACTGTATTTCTACAGTATTTCATTGGTTTATATAATATTTAAATTATGGAAGCACAATAACAAGTACAACTGGCATAAACAGGTTTGGAAATAAGCATAAGTAACTCGTCAGATTGTACAGTATAACCGTAGGAGCTAAAGTGGGCAGACTCACTAGAGAATAGCTTCCAAACCATGAGCTTTCTTCATGATACGGGAATTGGAAGATTGAGTTACAAAGGAAATAGAATAAGTTAATTGGTTTGAGGTTAAGTGTAGGTAGACTTAAGAACATCTACTGTACCTCTACATTTTAATTATTTGACTATGTGTCTATCTCCTTCATAAACACTGAGAGCATTTTGAGGGTCGAGATAGTGCCTGGCTGTTATGGGGATGTTGGATTCCCCTGAGGAAGGCGCCGCCCCAAATCACTCACCAAAGACGTTTCTTGATGCAACAAGCAAGAGGAATTTATTCAGAAGCCAACTAGTTGGGGTCCAAGTCAGCCCGTCGCAGCGGGTCTCAACGAGGACCCTGAGCACTTACAACTAAGTGGTTATATAGGATTTTCTGAGGCATTCAGCCCTAGAGGATTACCATGGTTACAGATTGTGTTGTAGTAACAAGATAACAATACTACATAGCAAGATAACAATACTACAAAGGCAGTAATTTTTCAAACCTACGATTTCTGGGTTAGTGCCACGTCCTGGGGGTGTAGCAAGGTAGGGTCAGCTTTTATGCTTAACTAACCGAAAGGTTAGCGCTGCCAGCAGTCATGATTGATTAACTTGTTTTTCCAGAGGAGTTACCTGGTTTCAGTTGTTCCCTCTGAGTCATATGTCAGAATGGTTTTCAGGCTTCAAGATGGCTACTCTTAGGCTAACTTATTTCTCAGGGAGGTTGGGGTCCTACAGGGAAACATTGAGGAAATCCCCAGACATTCTTATATCACCTTGTAAATCTTTCTTCTCATGAGAACAATTGGAATTTCAACAACTGTGAACAATTGTTTTCAAGCCATTTATTATACTAAGGTTTATGGGTTCTCCCAGAAAAGGACATATAGCATGCAAATTTCCTTGTCAAAAGGTTGTGTTAGTTTCATAAGGCTGCCAAAAGAAATTGCCACAAACTAGATGACTTAAAACCACAAAAATGTTTCTCTCATTGTTACAGAGGCAGAAATCTCAAATCAAGGTGTTGTCAGGACTGTATCCCCTTGCAGGTGTCTCATTTTCCTTGCCTCTTCCAGTTTCTGGTGGTTCCAGATATTCCTTGGCTTGGGGCTGCATAACGGGGTTCTATGCCTCCACCCTCATGTGGTCTTCTTAATGTGTGTCTGAGTCTGAAATCCCTCTCTACCTTTCTGATTTAAAGACACCTGTGTGGAAATAAAGGCCAACCATATGGGAACATACAGAGACTATTCAGAGTTTGCTATAGAAAGGGAGTCAGCCACTATCACTTGTGTTGGCAGAGACTCAAAGATGGACATAATGGGATAGCTTTAGAGTGGAAAAAAGGGAAATCTGATGGGGTGTATACTCTGATGGGAGGCTGTTGGCATGGGGAAGCTCTAGGCAGTCTAACTAGAAACAAGGCATCCTATATGATTGTTTGAGGGTGTATATTTGGCTTTCTCTGGTTGGTCTTAAGTTGGAAGTGGGGACAAAAATTAGGAAAGCTTTCAGTTATTAATCAAGCATTAGCCATTTTGGGCCAATTGCTGCAAGGGTATTGTTTGGCTCTTTAATTGTTACTAGAGATAGTGGTCTGCCTTCCCACAAGTCTTAGAGACAGCAAGATGCCCTCCTGGTCTGGTCACTATAAATAATAGATTGATTTCCTAGGTTGGTTGCAGCAGGTTTGGGTCAGTGTTCTACATTTACATATGGTCTGGGTACTGTTTGCATAGTCAGTACCTGACCTATCATTGGATTTAGGGCCCACCCTAAATCCAGGATGATCTCATCTTGAGGTCCTTAATTATACCCACAAAGACCATTTTACCAAATAAGATCACAACCATAGGTCTGAGGGTTAGGATGTAGACATATTTTTGGGGAAAATGGCACTATTCAATCCACTACAAGCTCCTCTTGGTTTAGAAATCATGCCTACTTGTATGTAGAGTATAAAGGACCTTGCCCCTTACTTTCCTGTCTGAGACATGCAGGTAGGTTATGACTGGATTTCACCAAAGGCCTATCATTTCTATTTCAAACAGTTGCCTAGGCATCCCTTAAAGCCTGTATTCAAGCTGCAGACTAACCACTGTATGTCTAATCCCTAAAACAAGATATTTTTAGTAGTCAAGTATTATCAGTACATTCAGAGAAATCCCACCGTTGGCAGAAAGCTAGAAGCAACATTACCCATTGACTCTATTATCTTTGACAGGAAGTTAAGGAACAGTACAGTTCTTCTGGTTTCTTTCTGTTTCAGCATTCTGAAACTATAATCTCTTTGCTTAGTCAGAAAAGAAACTAATCCCTAGTCTTAGCAGATCCTAAGACACTGATTTGTAATACGCATGCAATACATTTTAGTGATTCAAATAATTAATTCCTTTTGGATGATGCTGATGATGTTATAACATCTTGAAAACATGGTTAAAAAAACTTAGTCTTTTTTAACTTAAATATGTACTATTGATTCTTACTCATTTGTACAGTATGTCACATTTTCTCCATTATTTATTTGTTTGAATTGAACCACCCACATTGGATTCCATCAAGTTTATGACAAATGTAACCATAATTTTTAAATTGCTTGATTCCATAAATTTTTAAAAACACTTACCTCATCTTTCCCCAGGTTAATTTTTTAGCTCCCTAGTCTAGCATAAGCTTTTAAATATTAAACTTCCCCTCCCATTTAGAAAACAAAAACAAGAACAATTTCACACTTATGTGAAAATTATCCACATAATTTTTATTTCCCTGTGTTCTGATGAAATATCTATACAAAGAGGATAAGATGAAATTATAA